ATTATTGCTTAACATTTGATGAAAGTTTCATGGTAATTAAATAAAAGCAATATTATAAACGAAGCGAATAAACAAGCTTGATGCGGTCGGCTATAAATTGTACCCAACCACCTTAAACTCAGTTAAATAAACAAATCGTGAAAGTAGCGGGCTTTTCGTTTTTCTGCCCCTAAATTCAATTAGCCCCCCTCAAATTTTAGCTGGATCTACCCTTGGATTTACGGCTTTTAATACACAAGAATCTTCAGAACTTTCTTAAACCCAGCACGGTTTGCGGTATGCCACTTCTGCACACTTTTCCATGACATTTTCAAGGTTAACTGTATAATTCCACTACTTTATAAATCCCAAAACAATTGGATTCTTCAACGCTTGAGATTAGAAACTTGCAGTGCATGGCACCATAAAAAGTGATTTATTTATGTAAATATGTTTCTTTGGACGAAAAGTTTATATACGACAAGAATGACTAGAAGTTTTTTGAGTAAGATATTTCGGACGATATCCATCGTCCATCATCAGTTTATTGACTCACTATCAGTGTATTACAGTGAAATACTATAAAACCTTAGTGACTAATACGTATTACAATGAAGTAATGTAAACGCTAGGGACTAATATACGTACATAGGTATAGTTCAATTTGATAGTTTTAGAGCGACAGATTGTCCTTGTTCGATTATTATTGATTTATTTATGCATATGCATTTCGTTCTAAATATCTGGCTCGTTTGGCATATACCATCTTCTGATTTTCGGCTTTTAATCCACCAAATTCTTCAGAACTTTCTAAAATACGGCAAGGTTTGAGAGATGCCACTTCTGCACACTTTTCCTTTACATCTTCAAGGTTGTAGGATTCCGCTACTTTATAAATCCCAAAACAATTGGATTCTTCAACGCTTGAGATTAGAAATTTGCAGCACAGATGTTTGACTTGACTGACTTGGTATTCTTCAGCAAGTCGAAGGAGAAACTCATAGTTTTCCTCTGCAAATATATTATATATTAGTTAGAAAGGAAATTTCAGAAAGAAAGATTTTCGGTTGGCAAATTCCTTTCCTCGACAAGTATCCAATAACCTTTTAAATAAGTTTCTGGTTCCCAAATTGGAAATTGGTGATGGCAAAATAACAAAGTGAACCAAAGTTTGATATTTTCGTAAATTCAACACAACCATTCAGTTTTTTCGGAGAACATTCATAATCTTTCTTTATTTCGACTTTTCTCACTTTTTACCCAACACTTACCGTTGATTTGCTTTCCTTGGGAAATCACGTCTGCGTAAATCACTCTTAGAAAAGCACCAAATTCAACTCTTTTCTTGCCTGGTAGATCTATTTGCTTGGCGTCTTTTTCACGGAAACCGACTGACGAAAGCATTTTCTCAAACACGGGAGAAGACATCGAAGGAATGCATTTACGGACGTGAAACTTGGTGTTTTCGAAGACGAGCACCAAATCACTGAAGTGTTGAGGACATGAAAAGTCATAACCTTCATCATTATTGCTTTTCGACTGTGCCATCTTTTTCGCTCTTGATAAGTAGGAACAACAATCACGAAATTGAAAAAGTTTGGTAACTTTAACCACTTATTACAGAGGGGAAAAATCAACAAAACAGGTCACTGGCATATTTACACAATAGTTAACAGCATGAAATAAGAACTGAACTGCAGACGCATATTAAATCAAGTTTTTGTAAAAGATGAAATCACTCAATCCTTACTTGAGGCTGATGAATTCGAACTCCAGTTCAACCAGGTTGAAMATTTGTAAAAGCAATTGAATTAAATTCAAAGATAGYCAGATATGTAGATATAAGTTTAAACTGATTCCTTCGAGTTCAATCTCTTCAGTATTGAATAAAAATCATTACCAGGAACTGATTATAACCCGAACCTTCCAGCAATTTCATTGTGAGCAAAACAAGCGTCGAAAATATTTGAAACGTGAAAAAACGTTGATGTACGTATCATGGCAACAAAGTCATCCAGACAAATAAAGTCGTTCGTAACTGAGACATGCAACACTCAAATGATAAATATAATTTACTAAATATTCGACTATTTATTTGAGGTAAAACTATAAATCTACTCACATTATGCGCGTGGAAGATATAAATATGAAGTTTGTTTAAAAATTAAATTTTACACCTTCCAAATCATAAAGTACTTCTTTGAACATCCCTCCATCAATCTCGTTGTTCCTTCTCTTGCAAGGTTTAGGTGGATGCTGAGAAACGTTAAAACTATATAAAATTCAATTTGATACTCAGTAGGAAATAAGAGTTACAGCTGCATTGAACAAGTTATAAAACTAATTAAATTAAAGGCATTGATTACACCTGATTTCAAAATAGTGCGAACTCTCGGGATTTCCAGTTTCGGTCGATCTTCGGCACTCGACCGACATCACTCGATGGCTTGGTAACCAGGCTAACCAGGCGGGTTACATATCTATCAATGGCAGTCATGACGAAAACCAAACTCGGGAACTGATCATGAAAGATATAAATCAGGTTTTGACAAGACCATAGACTTCAATATGCCATTTTCATTGTCTGGAATGAAATTTAGAATTTACAATATTTTATTGGCTGTGTTCCCGACTAAAATTTTGAAGTAAACTAACGTAACCTTACGTATAATAAGCTTATACTCACATGTTAGTAGTCGGTACCTTCCTCGTCTTCCAAGTGCTTTGACATCTTGCTGCTGTTTATATAGCTTTCTTATTTTACACACGAATGTCTCGCCAACGAAAAGAGCCCTGCATGTTTCTTGAATTGTGGAGCAATAAATTATCTGATGATAGATTACCCTCCATCGCAGATCAGTTGATATGGTTTCCATGATCAGTTCCCAAGTGAAAATGGCATATTGAAGTCTATGGTCTTGTCAAAACCTGATTTATATCTTTCATGATCAGTTCCCGAGTTTGGTTTTCGTCATGACTGCCATTGATAGATATGTAACCCGCCTGGTTAGCCTGGTTACCAAGCCGTCGAGTGATGTCGGTCGAGTGCCGAAGATCGACCGAAACTGGAAATCCCGAGAGTTCGCACTATTTTGAAATCAGGTGTAATAATGGTATTGAAAAATGGAATTTCGTGTCCTTTGAAAGTGAAACAACCGAAGGTTTTTCATGCAACGTGGCTTTTTAGCTAGTTTATCAGTTTATCGAAGTGATTCTCTAACAGAAGAAAGCTGAAGAATGTGCTGGCTCCTGGTCTTCACTACTATTCCACTGTGTAAAGCTCTTGTCCTTTAAAGTTTCATCAAAACGTCTGGCATTTCGTTCTAAATATCTGGCTCGCTTGGCATAAACTCTCATCCGATTTTCGGCTTTTAACCCACAAAATTCTTCAGAACTTTCCAAAACCCAGCACGGTTTGAGAGATGCCACTTCTGCACACTTTTCCTTTACATCTTCAAGATTGTAGGATTCCGCTACTTTATAAATCCCAAGACAATTAGATTCTTCAACACTTGAGATTAAAAACTTGCAGCACAGATGTTTTACTTTACTGACTTGGTATTCTTCAGCAAGTTGGAGGAGAAACTCATAGTTTTCCTCTGCAAATGTATTTTAATACATTTAATTAAGCGAATTTTTAAAAGATTTTCAGTTGGCGAATTGCTTTCCTCGAAAAGGATCCAATAATCTTTTAAATAAGTTTCTGATTCCCAAATTGGCAATCAGTGTTCGCAAAATAACAAATTGAATCATGAAAGGTTGATATTTTCGTAAATTTAACACAAATATTCAGTTTTTTCGGAGAACATTCATAACGTTTCTTTATTTCGACTTTTCTCACTTTTTATACCACACTTACCGTTGATTTGCTTTCCTTGGGAAATTACGTCTGCGTAAATCACTCTTAGAAAAGCACCAAATTCAGCTCTTTTCTTCCCTGGTAGATCTATTTGCTTGGCGTCCTTTTCAAGGAAATCTAACGTAAGCATTTTCTCAAACACGGGAGAAGACATCGAAAGAACGCATTTATGGACGTTAAACTTGGTGTTTTCGACGACGAGCTCCAAATCACTGAAGTGCTGACAAGATGAAAAGTCATAACCTTCATCATTATTGCTTTTCGCCTGTGCCATCTTTTTGGCTCTTGTTGAGTGGGAACAAGAATCACGAAATTGAAAACTTTTGGTAACTTCAACCACTTATAATTACAGAGGGGGGAAATCAACAAAACAGGCTATTGGCATTCCTACACAATAGTTAACAGCATGAAATAAGTTTCTGAACTATGCAGACACATATTATGTCAAGTGTTTGTAAGAAATAGGGCATTCCTACACAATAGTTAACAGCATGAAATAAGTTTCTGAACTATGCAGACACATATTATGTCAAGTGTTTGTAAGAAATAGAATCACTTACTCTTCACTTCTTAATAATGCTTCGAGCTCCAATTCAACCAAGGTGAAAATTTGTAAAAGCAATTGACCTATTTCGTTTAGACATACAATCAGGTAGAAATTGACTTAAATTCAAAGATAATCAGATATGACGATATAGTACTAGACCTATTCCTTTGAGTTCCACGAATTATACATCATAGAATTATTGATCTATTTACATAATAGAAAATATTTCCAAGAACTGATTATAACTCGAACCTTCCAACAATTTCATTATGATCAAAATAATCACATGTACGGATTTTGGCGTCAAAGTCATCCAGACAAGTCAGTAAAGATGCAACACTTAAATGATATTTCACCAAATATTCAACTGCTTATTTACTAGAGGTRGAAATRATATTGATTATYATCGTGCATAGCTAGCCTGTCGTGGCATGACCACAGAGTTAGTCAAATGCAAGGTAAAACAAGGTCAGAATAGGACACGTACTTAGATCTCATGACTAACGTATGACCGTCAGAATAAGACTTGTCTTAATAATTAACGCGGCCTGGGAAACCGTATTTGCGCCATGTTAGGCTCAGGTCAAACATTGAACTTCACATGAGCCGAACCTAATTGCAACAATGGATAACAAGGCGGTCTTCTTTGATGTAATTAGGTTCGGCTCATGTGAAGTTCAAGCGTTGACCTTATCCTAAGCGTTCGTCAACTTAATAAACATTAAAACTATTCTAAAATATTCACCGAATTTCTGTCTAAGATTTCTGTCTAAGATATCAGCGGTTAGAACGACGCACTTTCACATGCTACAGAACAATATAAATTTGAGAATAAAACTAAAAAATGTATTAAAAGTCAGTGAGTTTGCCGGAGAGAGTTTATTATGTATGAGAGTATTATACTGTGGTTGTAATGTATCAAATTGAGCTGATCCTCACAGTATATGAAGAAACTTATGCAGCTGCAAATTGAAAGACTCAGAAAAAATTCTGATTCTTGAACGGGATTTGAACCCGTGCCCTGGTGACATTTATAATAATTTCTTATTCCCATGTCATACGCCAAATGGCGATTCGTGGGGGGTGGGAGAGGGGGACATGCATGCATGCATGCTTTAACTGATGTATTCCTTTTTTTTTCAGTCTGCTGTAGGTTAACATGAGAAACCTTGGTATCACATATATTGGCTTAGTCCTCGCAGTCCTCACCTTCACTGTTCTAGGAGGTAAGCTGTTAATAGTTCTTTACCATTCCATATTAGTGGACACAGGACTGGTCAACCCAAGAAGTAAAATCCAATATTAGTTCATGACAAATGGTCATCTGGTTTATCGTATGTCTGCGCATCGAATTAATAGCCATGAACTTTGTCAAGATTTGCTTTCAATTTACTTTTAAAATACATGCATTTGTGATAAACTATTGAACAGATTTCTTACGACGCGGTCACGTGACGGAAAAGACGGCACTAGTTTAACCAATTATGTGCAGCTATAAATATATTGAGGTCTTTCCTCATCTAACAAATGCTTCGACACTGTATTTTTACGGTCACTAAGCTGCACTAGCCAACGAGTGGGTGACACCAAAATATTCTGTCATTTTACTCCCGTGTTTGGAAAGCCATGAAAAACTTTCCTTGAGTTTATTGTTTAACAGTTTTTTTTTATTTCATTGGATTCTAAAGGGACCTTCTCTCGTCGTCTAGATATAACGGATGACAGCGATCCCCTGTACTCATACCCTGCACCTCGTATACTCCCCGGTCCATCCATAGACCCTGCACCTGTGGTGCTTCCTGCTGGTAGTGTGGATAGAGCTCCGGAGGTGGCTCCTGCAGGGGCAATAGAACCAGCATCCCAGATCGCCCCTGCACCTGCTGTACTCCCTTCTAATGCTATCAGAGAAAAGAACAGAGCATATCCTGAAGAAAAACGTTTTGGTAAGACTAGAGTTATATTCTATATATGAATATCTCTAGGCAGCCACATAGACCAGCAAATAAATCTAGGTTTTTGGTCTCTGGCTTCAGAGGTTTATGGTGGTATGAGCGTGAAGGAAGGCAAAAAGTGAAGATCTTAGCTGTCTGGGTGACAACATGATGACATCGGGTGCCTCTTATTATTATACATGTTATTTATCATGTCAGCTCAGGCGCTACACGTTTTGAATTTTTGATGCGGAGCTTTTCCATCACAGTCTTTAGTCGTCAGTAATGATTAACTGGAGCTAGAAATTTCTTGAAGGTGCTATTTCAGACATAGACCGGCTCTAGTTCTAAAGACAAAGATTAAGTTATTATAATCAGTATCGCTAATTCCTTTAGATGTAAAGTTGCTGATATTCGGGGAATAATTATATGGTGTATACATATTTTAAGTTGTAGTGTTTTTTTTAATAGCAATACAAAAACAAGGAAAGCGTAGGCAAGCTTTGGAAGAAGCAATTATCACAGCACAACAAATCTGGAAAAATGGGATGAATGGGATCCTACCACAAACACAAAATAACTCACAGAAAACGCAACAAAAACCAGACCAGGGTGCAAAAGAGGAAAACAGCAAGGCTGTTGTTGTCATTGAAGAAACTGTACCTTATAATCAGCAGTCGGAAGAAAAGAACAGCAAACAATTTATACGTATGAAAGGAAAAGAGCAAGTGATGGGACAAAAAACCTCTTTTACAAAAGGCTTACTTCATTATCCTCTCTACACAAAGGGTGATAATACTGCTAATTTTAGAATATTGAAAAAGAATGGAGCAATCTTAAAACCTGGGAAAGCCTATGCTCCAACTCCTTTTCATTTTACTCTCGATCGAAAAAATAAAACAACAAAAGCTACTACTACTACTACTACGAAGTCTGCGTCCACATCACCAACTAAAGCCTCCGCGAGATCAAAGGCTATTAAAGAAAGGAAAAAAATGGAGAAAACAAAAGAAAAATGTAAGGGTGTGGCTTACAGGCCAGGTTTACATCCTAAAGTTCGAGTTGTTCCAACACAGACTGGATTTATTGAGAAAGAACCAAATGTAAAGCATGTAAACAAAGCTCCGATGCAAAAGCCACTCACCAAACCTACGAAAAAGATGTCGACGCAGACTCTCGCTGGCTGTTCAATGGAACCTGAGACAATAAACACACACACACCAACAAAATCAACCGGAGTTAAGCAAACTCTATGTATTCCTCACGTGGTTTTGCCACATAGGAAAAATAAACATGGACGAAGAAAATTTAAAACAAAACAAACATTACATATACAGCGGATAAATGATAACGCAAGAGCAAGACTTTCTATTAACAAGAAAATAAGGAATTCAAATAGTAGAAGGAATGAAAATAATTTGAAAACGGATAATTATAAAAAACGAAGAAATTCAAAAAGCACTAAATCTTCGTCAAATGATGAAGTGGACAATAAGAAGAGATTTCGTTTTTTTGCAATAGCCTTAAGAAATGGAAAAATATTTCAAAAAGCTAAATTTAATGTCAAGCACAATGACGAGGTCGGAAAGAATCCCGTCAAAAATTATAAAACACGGGAACGTCGCCAGCTAATGATGCCCTACACGGGACTTACGAGCGATCCCGCACAGATCAGTCCTTTGGCTCAGCAGTTTGTATCAAGTTTATCCAGTGCTCAACCTGTCTTGTCACAAACGCAGAATATTCTTGGGCAACTGTTAACTGGTCAGTCTGAACAACCACTGCTGTCTCAGTCAAGTCTTGTTGATGGGCAGACGTCATTGTATTCCTCTCTTCTTCAACGGCAAGGTACGACTTACTGTAAATTGGGCCTTTTTATGTTTTCTTGAGTGAAGGGATTATCCGGCAATCATGTTATAGAATCATCGTTCTGAGCAGTTACAACCAAAACAATACTCAGAATAATACTCATAATGAGACTAATGTAATGCATATTGCAGTTTTGCAGCGATTGTGCGAAACATCGACTCACGTTACCGAAGAAGGCATTTTTGTTACTCTTCATATCGTGCATGTATCTGTATACAAATACTCTCCAAATGTTCATGATATTGACTACCTAGAAAAACTCTCGATCTTAGCTTCAATGATATAAACACAGTTTTAGTCCGACAAAGTTTATTCAATTTTGTATATACACCGCCATCGAAATATGACGACCAATTTGAATAACTATTGTTCTGGACTGACTAGCGACTGACTAGCCTCTCATACATGTGAAAACTCTTTTATGTTTCCACATGAACATGAGGCTGGTCAGTGCAGAACAATTGTTATTCAAATTTGTCGCCATATTTGGATTCGGTGTATACACATTAGAGTTACTCACTACATATATGGGTAGTTCTGTCAAGGTATGGTGTAGCTTTAACACTCTCAACATATCTTTCCAGGTTTGACATCAGCTCTACCTCTGCTGCAACAGCAACAGCTTATTCAGCCAGTAGGCGTACCTTCATCATTATCGCAAGCTCTACCAGCCCAAACAGGCCTATCTGTTCCCATGGTAGCGAATCCTGCCAACCAAAACTCCGCAATGTTTTCTCAATCACCAGTCACTCAGACATTCCTGCCCTATTCCTCGCAACTACGAAGTGAGCCCGGTGAAGCAAGACATTCTATACCTGAAGTGAGCGAGGAATATTCGATTGAAGAGGAATATCCCCGTAGGGGGAGGAGACGTCATCACCACCGTAGGGGATACTTCACACGTTCCCGGATGAGAAAAAACCCGTATGAATATGACACCTATAGGTCTTTTGAAGACACGTATGGCAAATCGCCGGGAATCTTTGACGACTTGAAGGATATAAGTATGACATCCTTTTTTATAAGAATAATGAGAACAAAGAAATGATTTTCAGTTTGGAATATACAGAAAGCATGGTCAAGAATTTATTAGCTGTTCCTAGGTTGATGAAAAGAGCTGGGTCGAGATGGCATATTGCAGTGCATTTTTGGGCTGTTTTAGGGGATATACTTCCAAGATGGCGGGCGTCTATGTAAAGCAGCCCCACAATGCACTGCTATGCCAATTCGATCCAGTTTTTACCTCAACCTCGGTTCAGCTAATATTCTTATTTGATCCAACTTTGGCTTTAAACAGTGTTATTTCATACTGTGTCAAAATGAAAATAAATCGACAATTTTATACGGATGGTAGCAACAGTAGCTAAAAGCTATGGTCCTCGTTCCTTAATCGAAATGTATCGGAATATGGAAGTGTTGATTTTTGTCGGTCTTGAAAATCGGAATATTCGGTGAAAGCCCTCATGCAAGGCACAGTAGAGAAACAACAAGCAAAGTCTACTCACATTATGATAGTGGGACCCAAGCTAACGTTAAGTGGCGCACATCACCTGGTTCCACTCGGTTACATTCGCTTGAGTGTTCTCTTTTTATCTATTTGATTTATTTGATTTTTAAGATTATTTTGGATTATTTTCGTTATTAAGGTTCCGAGATGGATAGGTATATTGATGGAGATGCCTACCGAGAGGGTGGTGAAAGAAGAAGGCAACGGCATCGATATGGGCGACGTTTCCACCATTCAAGACATACAAGGCCTTTTTATAAAGGTACACTATTATAACCGACTAACCTCTCCTTTAGCCTTCAGCCTTCAGCCGAGCTTCCTGAACAGTCTTTAAAAACCCTCGGATAGCGGTGTCGAGAACGGAATCTCCGACATGGCAGCAATGCATCTGGGGGCTTGGTCCTAAATCAATCAATGAGAATAAATATTAATTAAATAAAAAAAACAACCAAAAACAACATTCTTTCATGCAAATTGTTTTTGTAATAGATCAATCTTAAAATGTTAATCGAAGTATTATGATCATCCGGGTGGATGTAGTCCTGAGAAGGACTGTTTGATGTGACTGACGTTTCGACAACCTGAGCGGAAGTCATCTTCAGAGTCAAGTGAAGAATAAAAGTCAGATTGGTCATATTTATACTGCCACGATAACAATAGCCTAATTACATGAAGAAGCGTAATTGGCGACATCGGTCTAATGAGTGCGAGTCGCTGTTTCGGTGTTGTGGGCGGTTTTATTGTTTCTAATAAGCCTATTTTACGGAGCCGGTAAATTAATTGAGCGGTTTAGTGGATGATGCTCAAACTTGGTAAACCAACTCTCCATGGTAGAGCGCATTGAAGTGTGCGTGCGCGTTTAACATGTTAGTCATTCAAGTAAAAGCCATGTGAACTAGACAGTATTTGTCGCTATCTTCATCCATCTCTTTTTCTATTCTAATTTTTTTTCTTTTTTCTTTAAGAATACAAAGACTACGATTCTGATGTAAGACTACGTGAAGATGAAGGAAATGATGATGACATCTACAGCTCACAGAAACAATATGCTTCCCCCGAGGAAACAGAGGAACCTGGGCTGAATCCCGGAGTACCTGACGTCCCATTGGTCAATGCCGAGAGACAACCCGTTGAAACACACGTGGCAGATCCCGTGATCGATCCAAAAGAAGAAGCATCTCTTCATGATGCGGGTAAAATATCTACTTGGTTACAAACATCTCTTTTGTTCATGATGTGTTTGTGCTGAGGCTAGAGGTTGCTTAGTACATTCTGTTAATAGAGGCTTTGCACCATCATGTGATGGCAACCCCTTTCAGTCCGTAATAGTAGTTTTCCAATTCTCATGCGATTAAGATTATATTGTTTTGTCCTCGAAATTGAGCTTCTTTGACGTCATTTGCAAACGGTATATTGAATCTAATCTGATTTTCATGAGAATAAATTCAGCTGCCCTGGGAGGAAAAGACTATTGTTGTGCCTCGTGTCATGGCTGCCGTTAAGTGATGGTGCAAAGCCTCTATTGAAAGGAGTATTTATAGAAAGAGGCTAACAAATACAATTATATACAAATACGACTGTATACAGCTTGCAACTTTCAGATCCCAGTTTTTAGATTCCCGATTTCAGATTTAATTTTTTTAGTTTTATTCATAGTTTTAGTTTCACCATAACATCAATCAATCTGTTATTTTTAATTCAATTTTAGAGGAGTCCACAGAGAATGCTGTTAAAGACGAAAATGTAAGAAAGGAGAAAGTAAAGGAGAATGAAGTGAGCAAGGATGACACAGACAATGGTACGTAAATAGGGGATTAATACATTACGGCTCCCAAAATTGTACAATTTGTAAGATTGTTTAACATTTTGCATATCAAGAATTTATTAATAAAAGCTATTTTGACAACAATTTTAGAAACCGAGGAAGCTCAAGCAAAAAGAAGCGAATTGGTTAAACATTTGGGTGAGTGAATAGAAGGCAGGCAGGCAGGCAGGCAGGCAGGCAGACAG